GGTTTTTTCACTTGAGTATGAAAGTTAAAAATGTCTTTTTTTCCCGCTTTTCATTTAATTCTGTTTTTATTCTAATTACGTGGGAAATGCTTTTGCACAATTTAGTGCTATTTTCGCTTTATTTTCAGGATGCTTTATTTCCACTTTATTATCTCTTTAACTATGAAACTGGCCCCCGTGTGATAACGGTCTTGCCATTGCTGCCCGACTGCTGAAATGTGTTGCCTCTGTCCTAAACCAGACTAACTGGTGCTGCTTCTTGGAGAAGGTGCTGTAATACCTTGACAGTTTACTCTTGCTCATTGGATGCTTCCAATGAAGGCAGATAGCAATCTTGGGATCTGCTCCCACTTCAAAGTAGTCTCAGACAATACTCTAACTTTTCTGAGGTGACTCAGGGCCTTTACAGACTGCCAGAAGTAATGCAACTTGAGTTCACTTTAAGCGCTCTGGCTCAGTGCTAGGGAATCATGGGAACTGTATTTTTTTCTGAGACATTGAGTCTTCTTTGTCAGAGAGCTCTGGTGCCACAATAAACTACAGTTCCCATGATTCCCTAGCACTGAGCCAGGGCACTTAAAGTGGACTCAAGTTGCATTATTTCTGGCAGTCTGTATAGGCCCTCAGACTGCCTTCTGCACCTTGCAAAAACAACCAAAGGCAATTGGATGGAGCAGAATAAGTTTTTCTACTTGAACACACACAAACAAATGATTATGAAGATTAAGGCAGGATATTTAACAAGACAAAAGAAAATAATAAAGAGGAACCTCAGAGAAAATATCTCAGATGACAATAAATGGCCATCCCTCACCACAGCTCTTTCATAATCTCCAACACAGTTAAATCAATCAATTAAAGAAAGAAAGAGATACTGGAACAGATGATTGACTATATAATTTCAATTCTTCCACATAAACATTGATTGAAAAGTGCGAGTGAGGCTCTTATTTTGTATTCATCCAGCTCCTCTCCTTTCCCTGTGCATCATACCACCTTTAGGTTTTCCTGATAGTCATAATGGAGGCATATTTACATTTCTGGATCAGCCTGAAGTGCTTTGGAATGTGCTGTTCCACTCCAGAACTAAGACCAACTGATCTGATCCAGAGCTAGTACAAATCACTCTAAATCATCATGAACAGCTTTCTTAGTTGAGATTAAGCTGAATTGGTTGAAAACAGCCTTATTTCTATTACAGATTTTTCTATACAACCAGGCTTGCTTGTAGGCTGAGCGTCTTTGGGCATGGGCAAAGCATTGTCTCCCTACATCCTGCTTTCATTTGAATCACTTGAGGATACACTTTTGAGAACTCCATTCTTATGTGCTTTAATTTCATGCTTCCTTTGCTCAGCTGCCTTGAATGCCCTGAATTAAACAAACCTGACAGAAAGCACTCTGAAAGAAGCCCAAAGGAGTTGCTGTATCACACAAGGTCAGCATTGTCCTGTATGGAAAAGCTAGTATCTGATGCAACTCAAAGTGATGAATCCCTAATATGTTCTCTAAAACAGATGCTAAAGACTGAGCTGTGTACCATGACAGTGGGAAAAAGAGTGCCACCAATTTTAAATGTATTATTGGTATGCTGCATGGTTTATTGTCAATTAAGAACAATTAAGCTTTCCCAAAATGTAAGACTCAAATGGGACTATTAAAAGGGACAAATGGTTGCACATAAATTGTGCAAAAAACAGTGATGAGTTAATGAGCCAGGAAGGAAAAATAGCATAGAGACTGACTGACTGCGCTTGGTTTCAGTCATGATGAAGTGAGGAAAATGCAAAAAACCTGCTCTTTCCTGACACTAGTTTTTTGGTGGTTCTTTTGAAAAGAAGTGATTAGCAAGCGTGTTCAGCGGGTGGGAACGAAGGACTTGAATTGCATCAAACTGAAGGGGAAGGATTACTGTGGTAGAGGTTTGGCACATCCCTCACCAGTTTTTGGGGAAATCTGCCATTTCCCCCCCTCCCCTTTCCCAGGACCCATCCTACACTCCAACCTTCTGTCCAAGAGAATTCCAAAACACCCTCCATGCTGAGCTTAACTAGGAAGCATGTCCTTCAAGTCCTGCAAGGCTGGGAGGGCAGCACCACACCCAGGGAAGAGTCCTCCATATGGCACCCATGGCTGAGGCAATCCAGAGGAGAGTCCTCCATATGACACCCATGGATGAGACATCCCACGGGAGAGTCCTCCATATGGCACCCATGGCTGAGGCATCCCAGCAGAGTCTCCATATGGCACCCATGGCTGATGCTCCCCAGGAGAGAGTCCTCCATATGATACGCATGACTGATGAACCCTAGGAGAGAGTCCTCCATATGACACCCCTGGCTGAGGTATCCCAGTGTAGAGTCCCCATATAGCAGGGGTAGGCAACCTAAGCCCCGGGGGCTGGATGCGGCCCCCTGAGGCCTTTGGACCGGCCCCAGGCCCATCCTGCTGCTCCTGCCGCCGCCGCCCCCTGCCATGATGATATTGATTATTGTTGTTATTACTTGTTCTTGGGGTTTTCTTGGCAAAATCTCCACAAGGGTTTTGCCATAGCTTTTCTGGGGCTGAGAGTGTGTGCATGCATATTTATTTATTTATTTATTTATTTTTGGTGCTTCGGCCCCCCAATTGTCGAGGGACAGCAACCCAGCCCCCGGCTCAAATAGGTTGCCTACCCCTGCCATATGGCATCATGGCTGAGGCATCCCAGCGGAGAGTCCTCCATATGATACCCATGCTAGGACATGCTTCCTAGTTAAGCTCAGAATGGAGGGCCTTTTGGAATTCCTCCTGGACAGAAGCTTGGAATGTAGGATGGGTCCTGGGAAAGGAGAGGGGGGAAATGATGGATTTCTTCAAAAACTAGTGAGGGATGGGATTCTGGCCATGGCACCCATGACTCCCTCCTGTGTTTTCTTGACTGCATCACCGATGATGCATAGATGATTGACAGGCATTTTGAAGGGACACAAACTAGTGGGAACAACAATTGTGCCAAAAAAGAAGCGAATAAAGAAAAGACCTGCTCCCTTAGTGGGAACCATACATGGACTGGAATCAATTCATGACCCGGAGCAAAAGTGAATCACAAACAGGGTTAAATATAAGGGGGAATGAGCCCAGAGGCTACAATCGTTGCACTGTAGGGTGAAACATGCCAGGCCTGAAGGGATGAGAAAGAACTAGAGATTAGCTATGGGGGGGGGGGCAAAATGAGGGCATTGTCCCCTCAATAAGAATTCTTTTTCTCCAAATGAAATTTTCCTTCAGTCCCCAAATATCTACCTTTGCAGAGAGCAAAACTGTTCACACCTACAACTCATATTCAGTATGCAAAGGGTTCTTGTAGCAGCTTTGAGACCAATTTAGAGAAAGAAATTGAAACAAGCTTTCATAGACTTGGTCTACTTCTGCATCTGAGAAAGCAGACCTAATCTATAAAAGCTTATGCTACATTTCTTTCACATAGTTAGTCTCAAAAGTGCTACAAAATGCAAAGATTCCTTTGCATACTGAATATTTGCTATGTTCATATTCCCTTTATAACTTTGCCTCCTGCCCCCTTTCTTTGGATGCCTAAACTGTATTTCTAAAACCTCAACCAACATTTTAAGTTACTGCACAATGTTAGAAATTGGACTGGAGGAAAATTTCATCTGAGGGGCAGAATTCTTATTTGAGTTGGAGAAATGCCTCCATTGAGCCAGTGTGGTGTAGCGGTTTCAGTTTGCACAAGAACTCTGTAGACCAGGGTTCGAATCCCTGCTCAGCCATGGAAATCCACTGGGTGACCTTGCACAACTCACACACACTTAGCCGCAGAGGAAGACAAAGGCAACACTCACCCCCTTTGAATAAGTCTTGCTAAGAAAACCCTGTGATAGGTTTTCCTTAGGGTTTCCATAAGTTGGAAATGACTTGAAGGCACACAAGAAGAAATCCCATCACTTTACCCTGCCACACCTATACTCCTGGGAAGAATTTATAGGTGTGGAGGAGACAGCTCATTCCTAATGAGATCTTCCAGCTGCCCAGACATGAACATTAGCATAAGACTAGCAAAGGGCATTGGCAGTGATAAGCAGTCACCACAAACAGGTCCAGAACACACTGCAGAAATAATCCAGTTTGAGACCACTTTAATTGCCCTGGTTCAGTGCTAAGGAATCCTGGGAAGTAATTGGTTGTGGCACCAGAGCTCTTTGATAGAGAAGGCTCAATGTCTCACAAAATTACAATTCCCAGAATTCCCTAGCACTGAGCCAGGGCAGTAAAAGCAGCCTCAAACTGGATTATTTCTGCAATGTGTTTTGGACAACAGTGTTTATTTAAAACCTCTATTTGTGTCTCTTGAGTTCTGGATTACTGCATGACTGACTGCATGACTGACTGTTCTTTTCTGAAGCCACGTCAGCTGTGTTTATATCACTGTAAATATAATATAAAATATTCTATCCTAGATCCCAGGATTAATCAAAAAGAGAACACCAAAAGAAGGTTCTTGTTAGGAGAAATGAAAGTTTTATCATTTTAATGTATTTTTTGCTCTCTTCTCCAATTCATGTGGTGCAATGCAGCCACCAGCACGTTTACCCAGACGTTCTCATGCGCATTGCCCAGACATCTGCTGCCACTGGGTGACAATTATAAAGGCATCTGTGAATAAACAGGATTCATTTGATAGTGTCCTAGGACTGCAGTCTTACTAGCATGCAAGCATATGTAAATTTAATCAATGAATTAAGATTAATACCCAAATAATTAATGCATAGATAGCCTTATTATTATTATTATTATTATTATTATTATTATTATTATTATTATTAGGTAAAGGTATTCCCCATTTACAAGGTTGTCAAGTTGTGTCTGACTGTAGGGGGGGCGGTGCCCATCTCCATTACTAAGCCGAAGAGTCAG